TTTGTCGAAAATTTTGTCTTTACAAGGAGATATTCGTTCATTTAAAAAAGGTTTAAAAGCTAATTTAAAAGATTTTATAGATCTTCAAGATCAAGAAAATGTTCCAAGTGAATTAAGATTTTTTTTGAAGGTTTTAATCTTAGTAAATTTTTGATTATTGAAGAAGATAAATCTTGGTGGGATTGAAATGGTTTTGCCGGAGCTGTTTTAGTAGCCTTTGGTTTGACTCAAATAGGCAATGCTTTAATTAGTGAAGGTGTTTCTAATATGGCAGGATTATCAGGTACTTTTAGTTGGAAAGAATGGGCAATACAAAAAGCAATTAGCTTCGGTCTCTCTATGTTGACTGCTGGAATTGGAAAGTTTTTGACGAATAAAATTATGGAACAGATTCAAGAAAATGTTTATACAAAAGATTGTTAGTAAAATAGAAGAAAATTTATTAAAAGAAATAATCGGTTTAATAAATAATAAAGTAGAAACTCTTTATCTTCAAAGTAAAAATGAAGAAGAGTTCGAAAAATCTTTTGAAGAATTGAAAAAACATATTAGAAAAAAACATTAGAAAAAGATATTTTATTACCACAACAATTTGATAATATTCGAACACGAGTTGTATCTTCTTTAAGAAATAGTTATCATCTATTTGCTGATGGTCTAAAGAAATCAAATTTAAAATGCGTTAAAATAGCTGCTACTACTCTTAAAGCAATAGATATCATTAATAAGTTGTGGACTGTAGTTCAATCTGTCTTACAGTTCGAACGTGTCTTTGTAATACTTTAAAAGATATTATTGAAGATACTACCAAAGAAAATCAGAATATTTATAGAAAAAACATTAATAAGAACCTTGTCGAAACAAGAGCAGAATAATTGAATAGAATCATTAGAGAATATATATATCAATTAAATTAACAAAAGAATTAGATAAAGTAGTAAGACAAGCTATTAATAGAACATTAAAACAGATTGGAAAAGTCATTGTACAAGAAATAAAGACAATGGTTGATTCACAATGTAATGGAAAAAAATCCAGCTAATATATTGAAACAATCAAATCAAAATAGACAAAATCATGCAGAAAGTCAAATTGCTGTTGAACAATCTCCAATAAATCAAGATTCAAAGAAAGAATAACAAGATCAAGCGAAAAAGAGAAGATCTACAAAATAATATTAGAAATCCAAAACAAATTACTGCAAGTTATTTGAGAGAAGCAGAAGATAAAGATAGAGCTTTAGGTCTAGCTGATATCAAAATGTTAGCAGATCGTAAAAGAAGAAAAATAACTGTTTACAATTCAGATACTGACGAAAAAGAAATAATAAATCCTTCAGAAGTAAGAAAAATACCTGCTCTTTTTAAACAATCTGCTAAAATCTATTATGAAGCAGGTGAAAATGGAGATATTGGACATTATTTTACTGGTAGAGGAACAGAAACATATATACAGATCAATGAACGGAAAGATTGTTTGCTAATAGCTTATCATGAATCATTAGGTAGAAAAGTAAATGAAAATATTATAGGACAAGAACGAGTATCACTACGCCGTTATACTGCTAAACATTCAGAAAAATATGTTAGAGGTAGATGGGAGATTGATTTGAATAGACGTAATCAGATGATTGGTGGTACACCAAAGAAAAACCTTTACATCTTCAATCCTATCACTGTAATGCAGGATGGTTCTAGAAAAAGAAATAAAATATAAATTAATACCTGAAGCTATGAAAAAATTAAGGAATGAAAATGATAAACTAGTGGTAATTACGTCTCAGCCATCTAAGGCGGGTACAATAAAGCAAACAGATAAAGTACGCTTAGATGATCAGAATTTTACTGGAAATAGTGACTATGTTAATTTTCAAGTGCAAATAGGTGGACAGAGATAT